TGATGCATGCTGTGAACATGACAGCCAGGTCAGAGCTCAAAGTTAAAACCAGGGTAATTCAAATAACCATTAGGATTTTTCTTCTAAATGCCACAGTTTGAAAGAACTATGTTGACTAACCAGTCTTACTTTTATGCAAAACTCACTTTTCAATTATACATCAATAACAGTGGTTAAAACATACACAGATACTTTTCTGACAAATTCTAAATCATTACTGACATGATAACTGAGAAAAAAAATCTTTTTTTACTTACATGTTAAACTGTCAAATCCTCTTTTGTGCCAGGCAGTATCTACTGTACAGGACATACCACTGCGGGTTTTACAGGGAAATTTCGGGGAAAGTCTTAATCTGCTGTGAGGTTTTTCAAGATGTGGTCCACTTCTGATTTTGTTTTCAACCTTTGACTGTCTTAGACTGATGTAAAAATTTCAAATATCTGTATTAATCACTTTATATTGACAAATTTAGAACCCAATGATGACAACTATTAAATATATAATTCTATTAGAATGATTTTTTATTAATGCGATGCACACTTCTGACATTGTATCACACATGAAATATTCATGAGCTATATCCGAGATATATTTCTATGACACCAAAACTTGCAAATTATCTAACAGTAAAGTTATAGGACAAGAACCAATTGCTTAAAAGTAAGATAATATTAATGATTTATAATTGTTTTATTTTTATTAATATAATTGAATAAAAGTACCAATCAACGATGCAATTAAAAAAGTCTGATATTTTGACAAAAGTTACTTCAATTTTTCTAGATTTATCTCCGTTCTGTCTAACAAAACCCTATGTGAGAATGTATCTGTCATTTTCATTTGAAATAAAATATTATCTTATTTTAATTAATTAATGCTAATCAATTCAACGTCAATTCATTGCAGTCAAAATGTTCAACAAGCGAAGCGATACACATCTCATATGCGAGACGTTGACATTGATTATCGATATTATTGATAATTAACGTACCGTAACTAATTCATATACGCTAAAGAATGGAAAGATTTTTCACCGTTTAATTTTAGTTTATATGCTGATTGCATAACGAGTTTTCTCTGAAAACAATTTTCTGGTCGTTTAATAAAATATGCTTATGAAAATACGTCGCTGTGCGTTGACAAGTGCTATACAATTATTATAAGAGAAATGATCGGGGGAATTTAAATGTGGTCTATTAAAGACAAAACCTTCAATACACTGGTCGCATTGGGAAGTTAATGATATTATCATTGAATTGCTACCATATGATTATACATATATAAAAACAAACCTCATAGATTTCAACTTACAGTTTCATAGGCATTTTTGTTTGATGTATTGTTGAGGATTGTTCATCACAATTGTCTACATCTGACCATACACTGTCTTTTGTAACAGTAGCATCTGACTGACGAATAGACCTTGAATAAAAAAATACATATGCACAAACAGTATATGGAGAGATATTCATATATGGAAGCAACTGACCCAACACAAACAGTTCAACAACACCAGTCAGTTTTGCGTAGTCCTTTACTTTCGTAAATAAACAAAATACAAAAAAACAAACTACCATTACTCACTTTAGTGCTGGCGAGGCATCTGACAAAGGACATACTCTAAGATCTTCAATAAGACCTTCCATGTTGTGTTCTGATAGCGTTGATTCTTCATGACGCACATCCCTGAAAAAATGCATGTATTTAATAATTTAATGAAGGTAAGTTCGTCATGTAGAAATAAATACTTTAAAAAGAAAAACAATTACACATTCATGTTATTTTGAAAAAAAATTATGTACATGAAAAAAGAGTAACATGTAAAAACAGCTTGGTTAAGAAAACAAAGCCATTGTTTAAAAACTCTTTTCTAATATATGGATTGTATAATATTCTTTGGTTCCCTAAACCATGAGTGTGCCAGCAATATAGCATTATACCATGATAAGCTGCATAGACATATAATAACAAAATAATTTTTGAAATTCTTCCAATTTAATTACATGTTATTTCGAAAATATCATTGTAAATGTGTCTGACTCCATTTCTTTGATAAATGTTTCTTTTGCAGCAGATTCTGTCGACATAGAAGCCACTGTCTCAATGATATTTCCAGCACGTCTCTCCATTTTTTTCATGTTTTTATTTCCAATTGTTGGTATATTGAGTGTTGACAACAAATTGTTGACCATCACCGGCCCACCTACACTATCAATCGTTGCTGTAAGAAAATGAAAAGAAACAAATTATTTCATTTTAGAATACAAATATTTTGTCCAAAAAAACTTCACATGGATTGTTATTTACATAACCGTGATAATAACACATTGTATAAATTTATATAGAGCTATTTTTAGTTGCCTTATGTATGTTGAATATTACTGTGACTGTGTGTATTGGCAGCCTAGTGTAAACTGTGTCTTTTTTATAAATGTACATGTAGGATTCTGTAATGTCTTACTTAAAATTGCTAGATTTAATTAGGTAACGTTTTATCATTTGTTTTTCAAATTTCTCAGTGACTTTGGGGAAGTTTAAACCATAGGAACTCTGGAACAGGACCGCATATTGCGGCGCATAAATCCGAATTCGTACCGGCTTTACATATTGTTTGTCCGACCTTAGCATATCTTTTCATGTTATGCGAGTGGTTGGTCTTTAATTATATAATCTCAATTTAATATTATCTGCTTATTTAAAAATCAGTCAAATTTACGGTGTATTGAAAAAAGAAAAGGAGTGACATCCGCCATTTTCCGCAACGTTCGGCGTAAGTTATCTCCCTCGATATGCTTGATTTTTGTTTTAACTTTCCTAGTACTGTCTATATGTCACTCAATACATGGGACACTTTCACATTTCCTAGTAAGTGCCTATCATATTTATCTTTGAATCATGTTTCAATATTCCTTTTGTCAGTTAGGCAAAATCAGTTGGACCATATTACTAAATTTTAGTGTCTGTTTTTTCTCCAAGTTAACAAATCAAAACACGAATACGCCCGTTATATAATGCCGCCTATACATGTCAACACGTGTAAACAATAAACCGTGAAAGTTATATCCGGACGATACCTGATAGTTGACAACGATAACGGGAAGAAAGTTCTGAAAAAAATAGTAATCAATTGTAGACAAAGGGGAAAAACTCATGCCGAACGTTGCGGCAAATGGTGGATGTCACTCCTTGTCTTTTTGTTATAATACCGTAAAATTTGACCAGTTTTAAAAGTAACTGATTTGGTTCAATTGATAATATAATTTTTGAGGCCATATACTCGGATAATACTAAAAGATATTTAGATGTAGCAGAAACGTTTTTAAAAACCGTTACACGATCGAAAATATGCACCGATATCTGCGGTCCCGTTCTCGAGTTCCTATGGTTTAAACAGTTCAGAGGGAAGTTTATCGAAAATTTCACAATAAGGAGTAGTGTTTTATAGTTCAACACAAACAAGATACATGTATTCTATATAATAAACTATTTATAAATCTGAAACATAAATTTGATCCGCATAAATTCTCACATAATTTTACATGTTTGACATTATTGGAAGACAAGTAGATAAATGTATATTCATTTTGGTACGAGACCTTAAATCTATGAATTCATAATCAGTATAGTACTTCATCTAAAGTATGATGTAATACATAAAACACTTACCTGTTCCTAATTTTGTGTTGACAACGAAACATGGCATTCCAACTTTCCCAGTACAGGTCTTCAATCTATGTGTTTTTCCATAGGGAACACAATTCACATGACCGCATTCTGTGTTTTGACATTTCACATTCAAATATCCAGACACACCCTTTTTAAGTTCACCTAACACGTTGTCAAATGTTAATGGTACTGGTCCAAGTCTACATGTTTTACAAAATATTAGGTTTGACGGTAACACTAGTGAAAACAGACTATTTTTAAATGTCACAAAAGTATGGCTTGGCTCAATCAAACCGAGCCTGCAACATTTTCAATTTTGCCGTGTTGGGCTTTCTTTAGGGATTCTGTATTTATCTATTTTGTTATATAACAATGTCAAGGTATTTCCAAGAGAAATTCATTGCAAGTTAATTCATAAAGAAATACCAGTTTTTAACGGAGTTATGGCCCTTTAAAGTTTACCGCAAGTGGGATAATTCCGCCCAATATATGGTTTCATGTATTTTTTAAGATATATAGGTTGTAATACATCAAATTAAAGGTATTTGAACAAAGAATCAAATGCTGATATTGTCATGCTGTAAGAAGAATCCTACAAGGAATAACAACCTCCATTTTATTTAAAATGGAATGTAAAATTTTAAGAAAAATACCTTTGCTAGTACACACACACACCATTTGACATAATGTAAAACCACCATATCCTCATTTTAGAATTGATGCTTGACAAGGACTTCTTCATGAATAGGATAATACTTACAGTTGTATTTATGATTTCCCTTAACCAAGAATCACAAGATCATTCGAGTCCACGTCAGAATCAAGCTTGTGGTAGGTGTAGACAGCTGGATTTCCGTCGTACACAATATTAAACCAGTCTGGTAAACTGGGAACCTGCACAAGCAAAATGAATGTAAATTTTCAAGAAACAATTATGTTTATTTACCATATAATTTTAATTATTTAAAACTGAGACTAATTGGTTAAAGTACCAGTACTAAAAATTAAGCATACATGTTTATAACAAGCACTGATAATATATGCAAATTTTTGTATTACTATACAAAACAGTATTAATTAAAATTAAGCAAATAATTAATTTATAGTTACCATGTTAGAATAAAGGCTGTTAATTGTTAGTATTCTGTAAGGATTATCAATTAATCACAACATTTAAACTATAAATACTTGTATTAATATTGATGACCATAACCCTGGCAGTATGCGTGTAATTAAGTCAAAGTCAATGGAAATGTTCGTATTATAAACATGATACATAGCTAAGCTAAGCTAACAAACCTGTGAGATTATCTTTCCTGTTTATCTTGTAGGTTTTTTTGTCCATTTTTCATCTCCTCAATTCGATGTTTGACCCTTTTCCCCAAAAGAATGTGTTGCTCCGTTTGATTGTCCTTCACAATAGCTTGGCAAACTAGTGACTTCAGATTAGCAGTTAACTCGGCTAAAGATAATGTCTTTCTCGTTTTTTTCCTTGAACTGATTTGGTTAAATTAAATGTCTTTTTTTTTCATCTGGAACTTGATTTAAAACTTCTTTCCTGAACTTTATCTGTGCTTTTAATGCTTCAATTTTCTCACTGTCATTACTGTATGATGACAACATATTGTCTACTTCATTTTGACAATGCCACAAACCATGCATTACTATATTGTTGGTATACTCAGTCTGCTTTTTTAATCTTTCTCGTTCTTGTTTTTTCCTTTTGTCTAACTTTCTCCTGTATTTTCTCTTGCTTCTTCCTGTTTATTTCACGAAGCCTTGCTTTATAGTTCACCCTGTACTTCTGTATCTGTTTTGATGCCATTCCAATCAACTCATTCTTTTCTGTTTCTTCCTTGGCAGATAACCAGTCCATGGTTTTGTTGTTGAGAAACATTATATATGATTCGGCTGCTAATGGGGTAATGTTCGGTTTTGACCTAAGTAATTGGTCTAATTGTCCAAAGACACTTTCAGCGAATGCTGAGGTTTTTGGATTTCCTTTTATGAGGTTAGGATCCACAGACGCAAACTCCCTACCTGGAAGATGCTCTTCATACAATATCTGTGACATTTGAGGTAAGGTTCCTAAAATAACTTGAACAAATACTTGGCATACGCCATCATAATCCCTTGGCTCTATCAATGACTCATATATGCAAAATTTCTGTACATGTTCTTCAAACAACACGAGATTTCCAGACATGAACTGTTCGACATTAGCCGAGGCATTTTGCAGAAAATTCACCACTGCTAGGTACTTCTCATTCATATCAGATAATGATACATGTTTGTCTTCTAAAACATACCACAATGGACAAGTACTTAACTTACTCACTAGAGCAAGAGCCTTAGTACCAGAAATGAACTCAGTAACTTTCAAGTCATGCAATACAGCTTTTTGAAGTTTGTTTGAACAACCAACACTTTCCAAGAATGAAATCATTTGTTCATGTAGGAAAAAGATAGAGGCTGCGTTGCTAAACAATACATTGAACCTAGAACCCTTAAAGGCTTTCAATGGTACCGAAGTCAATTTCTTGTCACTGAGAAAGTTGAATGAAGCATCAAATATAGGAGTGTCATTGTCAAACATCTGTTTTTCAGTCTCCTTCAATGACTTCTGAGCGGCTTCTGCATAATTAACCAAAGCGTGAAGTCCACACAAAAAATTATGCATCTTTCCAAGACGAAATTTCTCCTTGTCTGAAAAAGTGTCATAATTTGCATAACACAGAGGTAGCACTTCACGTCTGTAAATTTTTAACATGGCATTAAATTTGACATCAGTGGCTGCTCTATCAGACATGGTAGAGGTTATGTGACACAGTATATCATTGGAGACAGAATTTGATGATGAAATTGCTTCAATGTCAATCAAAATTTCTCGAAATGTACTCAATGTGTCTTCCGCAGACTTGGTTTCAATATCACGAAGCACAAGAACCCATAAATTACCGTCCGAGTCTGAAGCTTCATAGCCCATATACTTTTCACCGAACTTTGAGGTTTCATCAGTTAATAAACATGTATTGGTTCCTTTGGTAAAAACCTCAGCTATATGACTATGGGCTAAACAGAGACGCTGCAAGTTCATATTAAGCACTGTTGACTTTGAAGGAACCTTATTGGGTTTCTTATTGGCTAATTTAAGTACAGATGTTATAACACTGCCTACTTTAGATGCACGTACATTAAGTGTCAATAACTCGTAGACACACTGTTTTATATTTGGCAAATACCTTTTACTGTGCTCATCAAACACCACATGTCTTCCACATTATCATTCAAAATATCATTTAAATACTGAACACTTTCAGTGAGTTCATTTAATGTGCTTTCTTTTTCTTTCAACTGTTCAATACGTTCAGTTTTATCAATACAACACCTCTCATTTAAAGCATCTTCTAATTTTTGTATTTTTTTAGCATAAATTTCACGAGATCTGAAGCAGTTCGCTTTAAGTTCAGTTTTACATAAGTGAGCTTTTAAGCTGATAATGACAAGGCATCTTCAGTCTTCTTAAGTTCATTATCTTTAGACTCCACCAGGTTTTCTGTTTTAATTATTTTTTCAGTAAGTGATTGAGTCTTTAACTTTTCTGAAATAAGTGAAGATTTCAAAGAATCACAGTTAAGAGCTTCATCTTGAATAATTTGTGGACCCCTTTTGCTAAGATCTGCTGTTGGAAAGCTGATTTTTTTGTTCAAATATTCATCTAAATTCTTTACACCATTAGGACGGCTAATATCTTTTTTAATTGTTTCACTTTTTCAATAACTTTCTTAACAGAATAGTCAAATGCCTGTCTGGTTGGCTGACTGGATTTACCTGCACTCAAAGAGTTCACATACATGTATTTTTCAGTAATATATTTAATACAACTGATTTTATCATGTTGCTTGTGAAAGTCAAAAACATCTTTATTGGTTAATTCAGATATTTTAGTGTTTTTTTCAATATATATATTTTCGAAGCTCTAAATGGTCAATATGTTTGTAATTTCTATGTATAAAGCAAAAATAGTTCTTATAAGTATTAATTAATTTTGTAATGGTTATTAAATTGTATTCTTAATTCTCAGTATTTTTTTCAGTTGTTTTTTCAGTTCAAGATTTTCCTGCTTCAGCCGATCATTTTCTGATTTAAGAAATTTGTTTTCAGACAATAATTTGTCAATGTCGTGCGTACTTTCACCACTTTCTTGAGAGTATTTAAGTTCATTGTAATCACCCTTTTTTCCCGGCATGTAGGCATAGGCTTCCCAAGTGCTATCAAAGGGGTCAAATGAGTCATCCTCGTTCTGTTTAAGAAAAGCAGGTATAAAGTTATAGGCTACTTAGGAGCTAGGCTGACAATACTGAAGCATCCCTTGTTCTTAATGTAGCCAGATTTGTGAGAATGTTTGACATCATTGTTAGAAAATTTCATATAATACGATTACATCGTGAATTTTGTTAATGAATGGAACAAACAATCAAGTTAAATATAAAAATATGACAAGGGATGCCCCAACAAAGCAATATACACATCGGCAATCAGTTACAGTGTTAGTTTTATTCACATGCAACATCACCACACCATATTATATATATATTTATATTGCAAATGGCTAGGATAGCAAAACAATCAATTACTTCACTTCAAGATGAATAAAAAGCCACTCTTTGAATGTATTCTCTAAATTTTAATTTCAATTATAAAATATACTTTAGTTTTTTTTTTCAAATTTTGTTTGTAATTATATATTTTAACAATGATAAACTGTGTTATCCTTGTTGCCATTAAATGCTGTAAAGTTGGCTAAAATCAGTGTGAAGGAGAAGGTTGAGTACACATGATTCTATGAATTGAAAGCAGGTAACTAGTCTACAAGCCATACTTTTGTGACATTCAAAAATTAGTCTGTTTTCACAATCTACAGATTCCTCAGAATGCCTTTCTACAAATGATGGTGCTGGTTTAGACCGCTTTCTTCCATTGAAAACAGGGGATGGGGCTGGCGATGGTACAGTGCTACCGCTGGCCTCGGGTTCGGAGTCGGATCTGGTCAAGTTGGAGTCGGACTCGAATTTACTCATCACTGTAGAGTAGAATTGCAATTTAACCATCGAAAACGGCAGCTAAACACACGTCCCTTTGATAATTTACCATAAACTTATCAAAACACGAATATTAAACGTAATTTAAAGTCAATAAACACTTACTCGGACATTTATAAACATCTCGAAAATATATGACACGGCAACGGTCATATTGCGTTCGGACAGTGCGTATTTCGGACAAATTAAAATATCTACTTGCGCTGCAATGCGCTTCCTTTTACAAACGAGTTTGTTAAAAATAATTATAAATGACACATTGCTAAATTCCAAAATCACTTTTCCACCATCTTTTCACCATTACATTAGGTAGAAATACCTGTTGCCAAAATTGAAGTTTTTCTAGAGCTGTTTTCGCGGACTTTTTACCATGTTTTCGACTAAAAATTTTACATATGCTTAATTTTGACATCTTTCTTCAAAACGAGACTACAAGGCCCCGATTTTACACTATATTTTCAATGAAATGGATAGCTAAAACAAGCACCAGTGGCGCCGCAAAAAAAGTCAAAGGTCATCGACCTACTTTCTGTTTTTTGTACGAGCTGTATCGGAAAGAAAACGCAGATTTCCGTTATTTGAAGATTATTTTTTATGAAAATTAAGGTGTTTTCTTGATAAATGATACCATACAATGTGCCTAGATTATTGGTTTATTAAGAAAAAGAAGCTAGTTTCACTTACGTATTTATATGGAGCCAGATAGGAAACCAATATGGCCGCCGATCGTTGACGTCACTAGTAACACGCCAAACTCAACGATTCTTCTTCCCTCTTTCCAACCCTCATTATCAACCGATTTAGGAAGAGTGGATGTTTTGTAGAGCTGGTTGGTTGACCCGTTATACTGGTTACCTGTACTATAGTTATGTTCTATTATTAAGTCGGAATACTTGTGTTTTCTGCATCTTTTTACACTTTTTTTTTTAATCGACCGAGCGTATCACGACGGTAAGACGCAATGTTAGATATCTACGGAAATTTCGTCATTTTCTTGGGGAATACTAACGCGTGACCGGGGATATCCGCTATTATTAGAATTCCGACTTTATTCGTAAACAAACGAAGTTCGTTACGATAAATGGCGAGCTATGGCGGTGAATGTCGAAGATTGCCGATTTCATTATGGGTCTTATACCTTAAAATTCAAGAAAGCAAGATTAACTGTTATTGTGAACTACAATACCATCCATGATACATATGATGTTTCAATTAGATAACTCTTAGGCAAAAAATAAAAATATGTTTGTTTCCCCTTCCCGACCCATTAAAATAGGGTTGGGTAGGTAGGTAGGTAGGTACATAAAGGACTTTTTTATGTGTGCATAATAATACATAATCTTTATATATGTATAATGAACTATTAAAATTAATTTAGAAGTTTGTGTAAATGTTATTTGCAATTCCTTGGCAAATGAACAAAGTTGGATTAACTTTCAGAACTGATATGTTTGTGGCGATTATCTGGCAAACTTGTTTTTATAGATAAGTTTCTGGTGATCTTTCAGCGAATATTTTTTTGACAGAAAGATTCTGGCAATCTCTGGCAAATTAGTTTTCCACTGAAAAGTTTCTGGCAAACTATTGGCGAACAACTTAATATTCTGGTGAATTCACCGCAAAGTCGCCAAATGTTTGCTACAGAGTTGCCACAAGTGGCGATATCTGGCAAAGACTTGACACAGTGTTTCGGCGAATTAAAAGATTTGCAGCGAATTTGCGGCAAAGTTGCGGCGAGTTTACGGCAAACCTTTCCTTTAGGTACGGGTATAGTGTCACTTCTATAGGTATTCAATAGTCAGGGTATGCTGTGTCAGGAGGAAGCTAGTAGTTAGTTTAACATCTCATTTATTCATCATCAACACCATTCATGCATGTATAAACCTTCATTAGCAATATAATTAATACATGTAGTCAAAATGGGTACATGTCCGGAAACCACTCCAGTTGGGTTTGTTTACCTTAGTAACATATAGATAAAAGTTCGGTACAAGATTGTAAATACTTGAAATTTATACGTTTATTATAGTTATTTTAATATGGGAAATATATTTATTAAATTATTCTGGGTACTATCTCTCCAGATGGATACTTTTTAGAAAGCATTATGCTTAGATGTTACGTCTGTAAAGCGGACAATACAATTGACCAAGTTCAAGGGGAAATCTGGGGTATTTATAGGAAAAGGTCACATGACCCTTAAAACAGTAACGATACTTCATATAATGACGTCACTGAGTACCAATATGGGACATGTTATCTATTTGATGACGTCACATTGTCTTCATCTTGACTCGATTAAATACAGAACATATTCTAGGTTTCCATCTGTAATTCTAATCAGAACCAACTAATTATGGACGAAACACAAGGTATGGCACAAGTGTTATGTGTTATGTTGCAATAAATAAGGGATTACAAATGGGCAAACTGGTGTAAACATCAGGTATTATACATATTTTAATAAATCAGAATAAAGATGATAACTGTCAACAAAT